GGTGTCGTAAACAGTGGCGTTCGTGCATCTCCTCAATTTCTTTGCAACCTTAGACCACTGAACTTCTCAATTTTCTCTTCGATCATACTTTCAACCTTGTTTTCCTCTTATTGTTCACCCAAATGGGCAGCCAAAAGACATCAACCAAAACCGGCGCTCTAATATGCGTGATACTGGTTGTCCAAACTGAAACTGACAAACTCCGCTGCTAGTGACGAACGACCTACTTATTTCATTGTAAACCCTCATTCGACCAGTGATCGCAATAAGTGAACGTACTTCTCGGGCATTCTACGAACGCATTTGTGCTTTGCGGTAAGCTGGGTCGAAAACTTCTTTCAGATCATGGAACACTGCAATCGTTGGTCGATGGTGGGTGTGACGCGAGCCAAATACCTGATGCAATGTAAATCTTTGATCAATACATCTACTATTTACAGCTGATGTCGCAGACGCCACCTGACCGTTTTTACCCTGGCAGGTGTTTCTTTCGCGATTAGGGCTGCTGACTCTCAAAATGTGCAACGCTTACGACGGGCTCGAGGCTCGGCCTACCAGCAACACCCACTGCAGTATGCATCGCTCGGTTACTCTGACCAAACGGCTTAATAATATATGCTCATGCATAAAGTCGCAGTTAACCAGAGCTCAATAAGCAGGCTACACAAATTACAGCTTTCAAAGACTGCGTGTGACGAGTCATAATTGACCAAAATGAAGTAAAAGTGCAATCAAGACGCCCTTACATTTGGAAGGCGCATGCACATATTGCTCAATGGATAGATCGGGATGGTGACATCATACCTCGCCCAGTAAGCGGGAAACCTGAATGAAGTCAGAACACAAAAAATCAAAAGATTTTTGGCCGATAGAACGCTCTATGTGAAATCAATTTACAGGCAGACACTTCGTGTCCAGGTTTTCCTATGAAAAGGCGCAAACTCTAGATTCCAGTAATTTACGCCGTGGGGTGGGGGCATGGGATTTACTCAGGCAGTACATAAGAAAACCAATGACCAGATCTCGAACAGGCATGTGTACACCAGCAAAGCACTAATGAAGCTGCTAAAAGATGGTGGGGAGGTAGGCAGGAGAAACAGTGGACTGCCTACCGGGAAGTAGTACATGTACAAGGTTGGTGAGAATGCACCAAAAATGAGCAACAGCCATTCAGATTATGTACAAAGTTGGGACAGCTCAAAGACTTGACAGGCTGAATACGAATACGAAGCTTTTTATCAAAACTCCCAGAGGGCTGACAAGATTGGCCTGTTTACATAAATCCACATAAACATTGGAGGCGCCAATTCACAAAACGGGTGGGTGCGGACTATATTCAGCGTGAGACATAATTGTGTACAAACGGATCGCCGTCACAGAACAAACTCACTTGATTTGACGAAATCAGATTGAGGTGGCCGAATCACGTCTGAGTGGCAGTTCATCAAACCGTTGGGTGTATTACGATAAGGTGATCACTTTGGGTTAGATAAATTCAATCTGAAAGTCACCAAGTCAAAGGTAGTTGTAAGTAGAAGTGGATAGAGAAGATCTATGAAGATAGAACCCAGTTGCACATCACAAATGTAGCAGACGTGAGGATCGGTATAGATGCTTGACGAAAGCAAAGCGCCAGTGTGGCAAAAGGGAGAACGTAATGAGGAACGAAGAGAGGATTTTAAACGGCAGAAAACGAACAACTGAAGCGTTGGCAAGAAGGGAGGACATAGACCACGAATGTATCCGGAAATGGATCTTGAGAATGTGATGAGGGGTGTTACAGAAAAACCTAGATAAATGGAACGTAAATGCAAAAAACCACCAACTCGAACAACCAGCAAGATGGAGTAGAAAGCGGGTACCCAAAGATAAGGGAAGTGACTCCCCATTGGGGAAAGTGAGACGAGTAGACGGCTCGAGCCATAGGCAAAAGTAGTGTACATGTTGAATGGAGTCAGATGGAGAAAAGAAGTATAGTACACAACCATGTCATGCGAGCTCGCCCCAGAAATGTTCTGACAATCCTGCCAGCACACGATACACAGCCAAAGAAAAGAAACAGCGATCAAAAAACTTCACTTGATTCCTGGGCCCAAACCATTACCAACAGCGTTACCGGGATCTAGGAGACCGGTATTCGGATCAGAACCGTTTGGATGGGTACTTGATTGTTGATGAGTCATCAGTGCAACAACTTGACGACCACCTCCTGAAGTGGTTATAAGCTGTGGCTGAGACTGGTGCTGCAGCTGACCCGGGGCGTTCGTGTTCGTTAAAATAATGTGTGGCTGCACAGAGTTCACAGTGCCGCCAACTGCTTGCTGTTGGGATCGGAAATGCACGATCGCAGCTTGAGGTGCTGCATTTTGACGCCCCAGCGTAGTCAAGGTAGGATTGGAAGCCGACGTGGCGCGTTGTGCAGGTCCCATTACCTGTTGGGCGCCAACAGGCACCATATTGGTGTTTGTGGCAGAAACAAACATACCGGTGCCGGAAGCATTGTTTGTGAAAGTCGGAAGATTGGCAGGGCCCAAAGACGAAGTAGTGCTGTAGAAGTGCTGCACTTGGGGCTGAGGTTGTGACTGCACCAATGTAGCTGAGCCCGGAACAGTGCGGAACCGCAATGTTGTGGTGCCTGAACCTACTTGGTTAGTCTGCAGAACTGATGCAGTCATCACCGGCTGATGATTAGCCGACGCAGGAGGTTGGATAGGGATCCACTGAACTGGTTGGGGAACAACAGTGGATTGGGTGGGTGGGGCGGCCGTCACAACAGATAGGGCAGAAACAGAAGGATTGTTGGTGACCAGGTTTGGAGGGTGAACGCCAGAAAGCGCAGTTGTGTGATTAGTCGAGGATGGAGCTGATGAGGATGGCACAATTACCACATTTGCATTTGTGGAGCCAAGTAGTGTTTGTGACGCGTCTGAAAACGCCGATGTCACTACCACGCCTCCGGGAGTTGGGCTTGAGGATAAAGTGCTGGTGGTTGGATCACCAGCAGCCATGCGTCGCTGAGCTGACTGCGCACGGAGACCAGCCTGTCTGTTTTGGGAATGCAGCGCGAAGAAAGCTGCATGGTACTCGGGATGGCGTTTAATCCAATCGATGAACTAAAATGAAATGGCAAGTCAAGTTAAATATATGCTTTAAACACCCAAGAGGTGGATATTCAAGAACTACATAGTCGAAGTAAAATTACACCGGAATTGTGGAAAGTAAGAACAAAACAAAACTTCCGATATGAGTGGGTTTAGCTAAGAGGCGGCGTTCCAGGTTACCGAGAAGTTCGTCAAGCATGCGTACAACTTCAGAAGCTGAAAACTAAGGTTATTAGATAACACAAACATCCATAATTCTAAAACAAAGAAGCCCTTCGTAACCACAAAATGGAGACAATATCACGATAACCAATAAAAACAGTGATTTAGTACGACAATGTTCCAGGAAAAGAATATATCATAATCAATAGTTGATACATCGTCAACATTTTCATCTCAACAATAGTTCGGAGTTATAATGCCCATGATGAACTATGAGTGTGTTAAAAGCAAATAACAAGTATGAAATTAGCTGTTGCAGTTTCGAGTCGAAGGTGACACCGAATCACGCAATCAAGAGATCAGTGAAGGACAATAGCCATAAGCCCATGCGGAAAAAATTGACGACTCGGTCACCACGAATAAGGTGCAAATTAAAATAACATTCCAACACTATCCGTTTTCGATTTCGACTTCTAGAGCATCGCGAGGGACTTTTCTAATAACTGAGAGTATTGTACTTCTTACACTGAGATTTAATCAGAAATCGTTGAACCCTGCTGGATCACGAGACAATCAAACCGCGCCTGTGGTAATGGATGTGGGAGACGAGAGAAATGAGAAGTTTCATTCCCTTATGTTGAATCCACCATATTACTCCTGCTCAGCATCAACTTATTGCCCGCTTTGATGACCACGCGCCAAGGAGACCTTTCCGGTGGCATGTATAACACGCACTAGTGACTGCAGTCTATGCAGACGACGCTCTGGAATAGGTGTGCAACTAACACTACTCGATACTATTTATCTTCTGTAGTCTCACTAGAGTAACGTACTCAAGAGTAGATGAGACCAAGATGGCGCTACGTATGCTCCTAGATTGGATATCATAGAACACTACTCGTTTACGTATAAGGGATTGGCACCTCAGCCAGCGAGTCACTAAGTTGCAGGCAGAAAGGGAGTCACTCAGGTAGTTACATGCGAATAGGTGGGTATTTTTCAACGAATTATTGGTCACGGATGATTAGTGACTATGTTTAGGACTACCAGATTTTCGCCTGGCGAACGACTTTCACACAACAGAAAGCCATGAAAGTTAGTAAAAACTGTCTTGACGTATATCACTGAGTGAAACCATAGCTATCCACTTGCAGTTTGCATGAGCATTTGATTGACTATTGGCGCATTCCCGAAAGGTGGCACTTGGAATGTCACTTCTTTATTGCACACTTCGTGTGATAAACAACAGACGGGATAAACCCCAGTCACAAGGACCTGCTGTTCATTCATGGAAACCGATAACCTAGGCCCCAGGACTTGGAGTGGCGAACAACATGAGGCTCCGCTAGCAGTATAAGGTCCAACCATCCGTGCATCCAAACGTGAAAGAGCCGGTCCTTGTACAGCGGAACTCTGCTGATCGCTGCAAAACTTCTTCAGCATACACTCGACATTTAACGGACAGTCAGACACTGACAGCTTCTAAGTATTCATATTATTCAAACGCCAATCGAAATTTTAGGCTTTCGATGATGATGTATTGGAAAGAATGTGGCGGTATTGTACTATACAACACATTTATGGATCACTTCGTATTTTTTCATGACGGTTTGCGCTAGAATAGACAAAAAGGATGAATTTGATTGTTATAACCCATTGGAGGAGTTGCAAGTGGATGTTGCAAAAATTCACCAGGTAGTCATGAAGATACTTGCGAAATGGATCACCCAAACATTCCAAAACGAAGAATAGCATCAACGAAATTAGGGTATCAACGATGAAAAAGTACACCCAATTTACCCTGCGATTCTGCTCTTCGCTGGATGCACCGGTTGCCTTGACCAAATTGATCACCTGGCTCACACGAGCGATGTCTTGCGGTTTGGCTTTGGCCGCCATGGCTGCGATTGCAACTGCTTTTTGGTTGTTCGGTTGGCCGGCAGAGTTAGCGGTAGGTGCATGACCTGATGTAGAAGGCGACTGAGACGGAGAGGGAAGTAAAGGCTGACAATTAGATATGCTGTAAGGTGCCGAAGAGGTCGCAGTGGCCGTTGGACGTGTGCGCCAATTTCCACATGTAGTGGGAGTTGCAACAGTTGCTAACTGAGGATGAATATGACTTGCGTGAGGAGACTGAACAACCACACGAGCAGTTGCGGGAAGCACAGATGGTCCACCGGAAACCGGT